TTTGTTCCAGTTCTATCGGGGACCTGAGCCTTTTCTTGTAAACTGCTCCACCCGACCGGCATGAACTCTAGTCTCTGAACTGTTTCTGAGTGACTAACTCTTATCAAAGTGCAGTATGTTATTTAACTTTTGTCCGATTCCATCATCCTTTACCCATTTTTTCCAATGATATACTCACTTTCGACCATTCTTATGGAGATCATCGGTCAGTTACTCGCGGTGGTGCGGTTCCTTCATTTATTCTTCTAGCTATACGTTGGTTGGTTATCCGATCGTACGGTTTGCCAGTTAAGCGATCCCGATTCTTGTCCAGAGTTCAGTTAATAGCTGATTATTGATGTTCTCTTAATTACAGATCCATTGATTGCGTTTTGCCGCTTTTGATAGCTATTCCTTGTAGCAGTTAAAGTAGCTAGAAAACCGCGTTATTAAGCAAATCGTATCACTGTCGGTGTGAACATTTTGTGGGTATTTGTCAACAACCTGATCAGGCTGTACTTTTTCAGTTTTTCTCTGTTCCTCTTTTCATGGAATGTAATCACCTGTGGGCTAGTCACATCATCTGTAATTTTTATTGCTTTCTACACCGTGAAAGCCAGGGTGGCAGTTTCTTGATCAGTGCTTCACCTCATGATTCTAACTGTTCCACTATAATCCTGACTTCGCCAAAGATCTTTTATCACATTTACTGTTTTATTCAATGTTGCCTTTGTCCTCGCACGATACACACAATTTTGTCTATATGATCAGGTTCTTGAAGGACACCTAGGGTATTACTGTTTTCTACTGTGAACTTCAAATGTTTGCTTGTCAGATTAAAAGGTTTTAGTTAAGTGGAGTTGCAGTGCTAACACTCCTCCCAATCGTCCCAGGTAATGGCATAGCCTATGACTAGGAATAATGTGAAAAGTGAGAAAAAATTGCATATGCTTCTTGCCAGTTTTGAAATACCGTGACTCAGAGCTTGTCTCATAGTGTTTTTCAATTTAGTAATGGCGCTGAGCTCTGCATCTGTAAGCCGGACTCATCAGTACGGTTGTGACATGACCATCCGAGTGAAAAACATGTCGAAGGTCTACACGGATGGATGCACAAAGGACATGTATACCATATTCCTATGTGATCTTGCGTACAAACGAGCTATGGCACACTTGAACATTCTCCCAGAAGGGCGTTTCAGCTATTCAATAAAAATATTGAAAATAAGGTAAATAAACCTCTAACAATGAATTCGATTTTGCTCTTTCTGAACATTCTGTGCACCTGTCTATTCTTCATGCTATGGGCAGTGATTAGCAAAATGGTATGTAAGAATGCACATTTATGCCAGACTTAAACAATCTCTAAGAGACTTGTTTTCCGACCGTTCCGTGAGTACTTTTCAGTGCATGATCTGAGACACAGGTGTACTAAAAAGTGTGATTCTCTGTATGCAGATGAGCTTCGTTAGAGTAACTCCTTTATGCTATGAAATATGATAAGACAGTAAACATCTTCAAATTGGAAGGAAACTTGTCACAAGGTCAGTCTTAGAATGATGAGTAAATTTTTCTAAACTAAAGGGCGATTTCCCTGTCTGTTTAAACAACGGAGTGCATAAGTATAAAGTTCAATTAAACGCGTACATGTGTGCAACCAATCATTGTCATTTAACGTAGGATGCATGAGACGATCTGTGCGACGGGATGAAATTTAATGACTGCCGTTCAGTAAGACGTCATGCGTCTGAAATTAAACGACATAGATATTTAGTTATTGTGGCAGGCAGTTGTATACAAGCAACCAAAATGCACGCTTATGAATTTGGCCCACACATGCTACACCGTATTTTCGCTGTTCCTCACTGTCTGAAGAACAGGATATGTGATCGTGAAAATACCGATAACTTCCTTTTAATTAGCTAAGCATCAGAATCAGAAAGTAGCATACCGTTTCACATGAAATGAACTTTTGCTCAACACGCATCGATAGTTGGCATCTTCCCTGAGGCATCCAACCTTTTAATGAACGTCTGTAGAATTTTCCCTACATTCTTCAAGTAGGGATGCCTTTTCGCTGAATGGTGTACCTCCAACTGTCAGAGCGTTTAACCCCAAGAAATTTGATATTGGAATAAATTTGCGACTCTGTCCCTGACCCTGACAGCTTTAACGACAAAGGCAGCAGTGACTGCTACCTGAAGCAACGTCGTAGATTCTCAAATGTATATCAAAAGGTACAACCCATGAACGTAAGTTTCAAATCACTGCATCAACTTGTGGCGCGTGATCATTAATGTGATTAAATTTCGGTACTGTAAATGAACCGCGCTGTTGTTTATTAAGAAGAAATTCCTCTCATTAAGAGAATATCTTTTTGGATGTCCTTCCTTTACATTTCCGCGTTAACGAACAATAAATTAGAATTCATGCTTCCTACTCGCATTTTAATATAGTGTGTGCTAGCAAGATAAGCTAGATGCTAAGATGAATGATTATAATCTTGAAATTTCCAGTTTCCTATGGTATACTGACTTCAACCTCAGCAAAGTTCGTAAATAAAAGTTTTAAAATACATCCGTGTAGTTTACGTGTTATCCCGAGTACTTTACACCAACTCGTATATCTTCTTTCCTAGACGTATTGGTAATGAAGCAGATATCATGTTCGGAATAACGTATTCTGAAGAGGTTGAAGCCGAAAACCCTCTGCCCACATTGACTGAATGTCGACTTCTGCACGATCGAGAACAAGATCCACAGTTGACTTCACAAAGTGAATAACCTAATGTTTCTGAACCTCTGACGTTTTGATCTGATGTTATGTTTAGATCGTTGGATAAAGCCCACAGTGCAGATGGTGCCCAATTCAACATATAACTTTGGTTATTTGTACGATGCGACGAAATACGACCAATACAGCATTGCGTTTATTTCGCCACGAGATACAGTTACTCATTTACAGATCTTGTTGGTGAAAGTTGATTGCAATAGTTCTGGCCAAGAACTCGTCTTGTACATGTCTAAGAAGAAATACAAATTGTGCAGACCAGTTAAAGGTGACAGGAGGCTAATCGCTGGCAAGCCATATGCAATCAGGTCAAGATTCACAATAATTGCTGTGCTGAAACAGGAGGACGATGGTTTTCAGGCGTCTGTTACGACAAGTAGGAGATTTCTCTATCGTGTTTTTTACAAAATGCTTCTGTGTCTTTTGTTCAGGGCTTACAGTAGAACGAACCGTCACTTACAACGAATAGTGCACTAATAGGCAGAGCTTTCAGGTATGACATTTCACACACGCTGAACGTCTGCGACGAATCGTGGTGAATAGTCTAGTACTTTAAATTAATTCATCCCTTTCAAGCATTTCATGATGGATAGAAATCAAAATGTTTGGAAGTCAGTCAAGTTTCGCATAACCGAAATTAGTTTAGTTGAAGCATGTACACACTGGGATAACGTTGGAGAGAACGGTTGCTCTTCCTAACCGTGGTCCCTAGTACAATCGTAAGGGATCGGTTTTGAATTTCAGAAGTGTCGGCTTCAAAGTCAGGTAGTTCCCTTTTCTCCTAAATACCTATATCACAAAAAATTCGCTGTACTTTGCTTCAGTACGCAACGGGACATCATTTTGCAGATATTTGTTTGCTCGTGAACAACATGGACACCATGTGTTCTTGTGTGCTTGTACCACAGTCGTTGATAGGGATTCATGGTGTCCGATGCTAGCGTATTGTAGCGTTGCAATCTGTCTGGATCATCCTGATAACTACTATGCCTTATGATGATCATTAGAAAGTGTGACATAACGAAACCAAACGGCTAGCGTGTAAATGATAAGGCAATTTTTTAGTATAGAGATGTAGATATCATTTTGCTTTGCCATTCGTATCTAGCGTTCATTTCTTAACGAGGTATTTCAGTGTTCATTGTTCCGTACTAAGACAGACGTATGACCTTCACGTGTTGAACAGAAATCATAAACAGCTTCCGTTACTCAATATTCTGATTTACAGTTGTTCTGTTAGTACATCGATTTTCAGCGTTTTCTGAACTCTGCAATACCCTCCGAAGAAAGATTGGCCTCTGTATTGTTCCTCAGGATTGCGTGTTTACCCATCTGTTTATGTTTTAATGTTTCGGCTTCAAAAATGCCAGATAATGCGATGGAATGAATGATGCATGCTGAACCGGCTCCGCGACAACTGCCAGTGTTCTTTTCTTAATCTCTACATTCACCGAGGTAACGTGTGCCTATAAGAGAATATAGTTATTCCTTATCTTTACATACAAATTAACCCTTATTATACGTCAGAGACAACAGTGCCGCTCACGGCTCAGTTGTCGCTCTTGCTCCGTCGTTATAGCCACTTTCTGTATGTAGTACAGTAGCACGGGCTTGCCTATATACATCCTGGTTTTCGAGGTTGAAGTAAGTCGTTTCTCAGCTCGAGTATTGAACACGTTTCAGGCTATGGCAATCCTCCAATTTAACTCTGGTCAGATTGCGTTATCGTTCGAGATCATGGATCCAAAAGAGGTAAATTGTTCAGTCTTTTGAACTTCTTCCATCCGTATTTCACTTGTAAATCAACTGTGCCGAATAGCGAATCTTAGTGTTTGTCTCCTAGTTAGACCTGCCAGCGAAGTATTGGAATTTCTTACGTCCAGATCGGCAGGAACCTCCATTTCTAATCATTTCACACTATAAAAAAATGCTGTTTAATTAAAATATTGTAAATATGACTCGGTCGTTGCCGGTTCAGAAAGGGGAAGGGTTGCAAACCCTGGCGAAATCTCCATAAAAGTTGGCCACCTGCCACTCATGGTACTGACGCCATCGAAAATTATACCGCCTCGGCCGTCGCCCGGGTTACCAAGG